GTCCTGAGCTGCTCTCCAAGGAGGACAAACACATCCCAAAACCACCCACACTGAGGGAAGTTAAATCCACAAGGTCTCTGCATCCCTCCCCACAAAGCATCTCACCAGCCCCTAGTCCTTGGGCAGCCCAATTGATTGGAAAACCATTTAGCCCATCACCGGATGTCACTTTCCCATAAAGAAGGTTTCCTTAGAGACTTCAGACAAAACACTCATGCCCTGGCATCCCCTCAGGTCAGGATGCCTTTGACCAAACTTGACACTGGAGACAGTATGGGAGGAATGGTCAAGTCAGTGTGCAAGGAACCCCTGAGTCCTGCCTGGGAAGGGGAGGTCATCCCTCTGCCCATGCCCATCGTCCTTGAGGAAGGGCACAGCCAGGCTGGCAGCAGTGACTGCAGCATTCACCATCACTCTCTGTGCTTCCCACATCCTGCCCAGCCTGCCACCAAGCTCCTTGGCTGCAGTCCGTGGCTGGAAGTGGTTGCCTGCATCTCTTGAGCCATTAATTCTATGGCCTGGGGGCCCCTGCCAAATGAAGGCTAAGGCTGCCAGCAGCAAGGACTCTCCAAGAGTCCAGAGGTGCAGACTCTCAGGGGGCAGCAGTAGCTCGTCCTGATGCCAGGGGGGAACAGTCAAGCCAATACCACAGCTGCTCCCCAAACTGTTTTCCCAGCACTTCAGTGGTCTGCAGACACAAGGTGGGAAAGCCTCATGCACAGAGTGATGGGGACACAAAAACTGAGACAAATTCTGTCAATGACAAAGCTATGCTGGATACAAGACCTCTGAAGCAACCTGGCCACTGGCCATGATGAGCTCCACATGCTGGAGGCTACAGCAAGGAAAGCCTTGGCATGTCGGGCCAAATCTGCACTTTGAAAGTGTCTTGTAAAGGAACTTGGAGGATGCTCCCTGAAAAAAAAACAGCCTACCCTCTGAGGCACAATACCTCAGAGAGGAAACAGGTGCCTCCCTGGAAATCCCTTCTGATCTCTTGGCAAGGAAAGTGCTTGCCAGGATGTTTCCTGGCAAGTTGTTACAGCAACTGCAGTACCTCGTTTAGAGATACAGTGAAGTGCCCAGCCTCTGCTAGTAATTGTAACATGGATCAATCTGATGGGGCAAAGGGAGAGGAGAGGGGAAGCTGGGAGAAATAAAGCGTTTATGTGAGAAAGCCGAAAACCTCACATTCCGTCAAAAGAGGTCATTGTGCTGTTGCAGAGGTGTCTGTAAATAACCATATAAGTAAGTAACAGTGGCCTCACATTAGTGATTGTCTTGGAGATACCCAGCAGTGTTTTTTTTCCATCATCTGAGGACATTTTATTTCAAGCAAATTATTTCCCCTCCTTTCTCCCTTCCCACCAATTAACTTCTATCTGGCAGTGCTGCTGCTGTGCCTTCTGTACCTCAATGTATGAACTGTAATTTGGTGTTTTGCTGCTCTGGTCCAGTCTCTCCCATTACACTACATCTCCTGTGATAAAACATCACCTCTCCTACTAATGGAAACCTCTTTGCAGCCTGTGACTCTCATGTCATTTAGGATACTGGGTGTTGTTTTCAGTATACACTTCTGGGTTCTCCCATTCGCTAGAGGAAAATGGTGGTTTGGAAAAAAATGTACTCCAACTCCAAGGAACCACAATGTCCTCCCATTGTCTTCTCTAGGGAATGAAAAACACTAAGAAAGAGCCAAGCTTCATTTTGTATAGTCCAAATAACACAACCTTCCCAGATGAAGCCCTGAGAAATAAAGATACTCAGCCATCTGTGTGGAAAAGTTTAGCCAAAGGGGGACCCTGGTACCCCCAAGACTTTACCTGGTAAATGGCTTCGTCACAAGCATTCTGCAGGCCCAGGTTCACCATGGTGTTCTGCAGAGTGCGACCCATGTAGAACTCCAGGGACAGGTAGTAAATGCGCTGGAGAGGCAAAGCGAGACACTTACACACAGCACAACACTTTGCTTTCACCAAAGCTGCTTAAAATCAATAGCAGACCCAAGCATTTTCCAGAGGAGGGATGTCTTCCCAGACTGGCTTTTGGCGCCTGCTCCTGAACACCACGCACCAGAGCTGTTTGTCAGAAGAATTTCATGCGGGACGCCGGCCAAGTCTCCACCACACATCTCCCCGCCAACAGCCTTCTATAGAAAAATCTCGCTGCCTGTTAAGTGTTTCCCTAATTAACTCAGGGCAAGTATTATCTAGGATGCTGAATGACATATTTATACACTGTCAGGCTCAGCTGAGGTGATGTTTACGCTGGGCTTTTAAAGTTTTCCCATGCTAGGCTGAAGCTGATCCAGTCTCCCAAAAGCCAGAGCAAGCCCCCTGCCCCATGCAGGCCGGCTGGGCTGAGGGCCAGCACCTTCCTGAAAGTAATTTTCCAGCACTCCCATCTGATGAGTCCTGCTGCTCACCCCACACCGAGTTTCACTCCCATTTCACCCTGTTGAACAAGTAAATTGTCCCATGGGTGGCAGGGTTCCTGGCACAACTGTGCAGTGACCTTCCAAGTTTGAGAGGAGCTCTGTCTGTGCCACAAATACTAACGAAAGCCTGTTTGTGGGATGAGGAGCAGGCTGTGCAAACTTTTGCCCTCAATCAGATTCATCACTGTGGGTATTTTTATAAATAAACTGGAATTCTTAACAGAACAATATCCTGACTTCAAATTATGCTATCCTTTGAATCTATTTCCACTGCAGTGTGGATCTTTCTCTGCTAAGCAGCAGGATTACCCACTCTGCCACCTTTGCTGGGAGTCTGAAAGGGTCAGTCTATTCCCTGGGGCTCATCAGAAAGACTGAAATCATCACACACAAATGTTCTGCTCCTTTCAGTCTCCCACAGGGGCACATTTCTAGTGAAAATCTAAGTGCAGAGGACAGGAAGAAGACTCACTCCAGGCCCCTCTGAGCCTTTCTGGGATCTGTGCAATTCCTTCTGTTGGTGCTGCAATACAGATATGGGTACATTTGTGTGAGTTAGGATAAAAGGAGAGTCCCAAGCCCCAGGGTAACTCCCAGTGCACGTGCAGCCATTCTGTTGTGAAAGTGCACTTTGTTTCCTGTGTCAAGGCAATATTCATAATCTTGGGAAAAGAGCTGACTCAGGGAGGTGGCTGCCTGCCTGCACCCTGGGGAAGGTATGTGCCTTTCTCAGTACACACCTGCTCTCTGTGGCTCTCCAGTCAAGCACTGGATTGGGTCTTAATTCAAAAGGATTAAGTCTGAATTACATCTTGCAGCCCCCAACACCTCAAGGATCACTGTCCTGACTTGGCAAGCGGGGAGGAATCCCGGGCTTTGGTGACCTGGGAGAGCATGTCTGGTTTTCACAAGGCAAGAAACTCCTCTCCAGCCTCAAAGCTGAGCTGCCTGCATGTTCTGCGGGAGTGAAGTCAGGACACAACTGTGCTGAGCCATGGAGGTGACGATGCCCGCAGGGGACACCACCGCAGCGGTGTGAGTGCAGGACGTGACTGTGGTGGAGCATGCAGAGGAGCTGGCAGCAGCAAAGACCTGCTCAGAGTGGGACCACAGGGGACATGGCTGTGACAAGGTACAGGGGAACAGTTATCAGAGTGTCTGAGGTGGGGCCATGCTGCAGTCAGGTTCAGTGGAACAGGACTGCAAAGAGTTTGTGGGGACACAGTCAAGGCAAAGTGCACAAGGGACACGGCTGTGGTGATGTCAGTGGGGACACAGGCATGGCAAGATGTGTGTGAGGGACACAGCCACGCCGAGGTGTGTACAAGGGACACGGGCATGGTAATGCCCCTGGGGACACAGCAACAGCGGAGTGCGTGTGAGGGATACAGGTGTCATGATGCCCGCAGGGAAGAAATCACGGTGCGATGCATGAGGGGCACTGCCGTGGCAAGCGGCCCCACAGGCAGGTGAATGCAAGGGACGAGGCCCATGGGTCGCACCCACAGGGACACCTGCCAGGTAGACACGGAGACACCCTTGGTGAAGGCACGGCCGCCCAGCCCCAGCCCCTCGTCCCGCCGGGGCTCACCTTGGGGTCCCGCTCGTAGTAGTGCTGCTGGGTGCGGATCCAGCGGCCCACCAGGTGGTCGCGCACGGTGTGGGCCAGCGCGAAGTAGTAGTCGCGGGGGGTGGCGACGTTGCGGTCCTTGACGAGGGTGAAGTGGAGGTGGCGATTGAAGCTCTTGCGCACCTCGGCCACGTCCCCCAGCCCCGCGATGCCCCGCACGCTGATCTGCTTCCGACGGTCCCCATCGCTCAGCGGCGCCGCCATCCCGCCGCCGCCGCCGCCTCCGCCTCAGCCGGGGCAGGGCCGGGGCCGCCGCGCCTGCGCCTCCTCCGCCCGCCACGAGGCGGGGCCGGCGCCGCTGCCGGGGCGGGCCGAGGGGGAACGGGAGGGCGACTGGAGACTGCCGTGGCGTAGGGGGCTGGTATGGCACCGGGGGACTTGGATGGCAGAGTGACTGATGGCACGAGGGGTCAGGGATGGCATCAGGGCAGTGGTTTCTCATCGCACTCCCCGTGCGGGCTCTGGCGCTAAAAGCCACCCCATCACCACGTTCTGATTTTAAACTGGGGGTTTATTGTCGGCACAGTGAGGTTCAAATGCCCCCGACACACAGAGCCAGCAGCCGTGCACACAGCAGGCCGCCGGGTCATGTACTGCTGCCCTGAGCCCGAGTCAGGGTGCTCGGGCAAGCTGGGCTCTGCTGCACCCCCAAAATACCACTTGGGTCTTCTCTATATATTCATCAAATACATCACAAATCCACAGTTAGGTTACAAATAGCACAGCATATCCTCTCCAGCCCCTGTGATTGCTCCCTGCTCACGTACTAGGCACCACTGGAGTGGAGCACCTCAGCGACCCTCCCCTGGCTCACTGCAACCACAATACATTCATTTAGCAAAGATAATGTCTGCAGGAAGAGACACCCAAAATACCATGCAAATGCATTCATCCCCAGCCCTGCATCAACCTTGCCAGGGCACAAAAGTCTGCAAAGTCCAGTGAGCCATGCTCAGGATTTATTTTTGTGGCTGCATCTTGTTTATCTGTCTTCCTCTGACCAGCTCTAGAACTGTCAAATCCATCATTATCCTTGTACCCAGCTCCCAGGCCTTGCTCATCCAGCAAATCTGATGTTTTCTTCCACCATCCACCTCCCAATGGCCAGGGAATCAGCATTAGCCTTTAACCTTAGAGGGCACAAGCCTATATCCAGTTCTAGAATCTTCCTGAGCTTTTCTCCTTCAGCAACTGGAACACAGAGCTGTGTCTTCCATGCTGCATTTCAAAGCTGCTGCCTATCAGCAGCATCATGTGTAAATGCACCATTTTTGCACACACACAAGTTTACCTTAGAACACAGGAGTAGTAAAATAAAAATTATCACTGAAAACTGCTGACAAACAGGAAAAAAACACCCTGAAATCAGGACAGTAAAGAGGTCCTTCTGGAGTGACCGTTCAGCGACTTCAGCACACTGAGAGCACATAGTACAGGCATATTCCAAAAAAGTTGTGTTTTTCTCATAGAGATCATAGATGTCCTGCAGAGTCCTGGTTTTCCTTCCAAAATGATCAAGTTTTACATTAAGCTGATGGCACATGCTGTCAAATCAAGGCTTCTCCTTTACACTCTTCACTGTAAAAAAGAGCTAGCAATGGTGAGGACTTGGAAGGGGATGGAAGGAAAGGAGTGTAGTTCATGGTGATCTTCCAAAGGACTCTGGAAGCCAAAAGCACACCCTTCAATAGGTGCTTCATGTGCTTCATGCTAGGCCTCCAAAAAATGGAAATTCAAAAAAGTCACCTTCTAGGAGTGTTAGTACTGCAGTCTATTGAGTGAGTCGATGTAATGAAAAGTGGCTCCCAATGCCCAGCTCGTTTCAACATTGTCAATTTTCCGGGCAAGCTGAACAAAAAAAAAAAAAAAAAAAAAAAAAAAAAACAAGCAGAAAAGTTAAACCAGAAAAGTTAAACCACAATTCTTTGTGAGAATCTGAAACACGCAAGGTGGGTATAGTGCTGAAAATTATGACAAACAGTTACAACAATCGTGGGGAGAGTGTTGCTGCACCCACGACTGCAGACCATGTGTTGCAGCAAGAAGGTCAATCAAGAACCAAGCTCTCAGCAGGATGACTCCTGCCTCAGCACCCTCCTGCCCACTCTCCCCAGAAATCCACTTTGAGCTTCACCTTAAAGCCTTGGCTCTTTGGGAAGCCCAGTTCCTGCAGCAGGAAGGTGATGTATGTGAGGTCCATGCAGAGAAAAGGGCTGTTTCCAGGGCTGATTTCCATGGTCTTACAAACTGAGAAGAAAGAAAACAGTGTCTGAATGCACACTGTGGGCTCAGGTCTAACAGCCCCGCTGTGAAAAACCTCAAATGAATGCACAAAACAGCTCTTGTCAGTTGAACTGTGCAGTGATGGAACCTGTTACAGTGGGGCTGGAATGACATTACACACATAAGGATAAGCACATAAGCTTAAGGAAGATCAAGACATTCAATCTCTCCCCTAAGACAGCAGTTTGTTGTATCTCTCCAGGAAAAGAGCCTTTTCTTCTATCTACTTCAAGTCTTCAAATAGCTGAGCAACTTCAGGTGTGTCATCTTTCTTGAGCACCAGCACTCAACAAATATTGACAAAACCAAATTTTAAAAACCCCAACAGAATAAAAGAAAAAGACAAACTCAAAATAAAACCCACTGCAAAACCAAAAGTTAATATAAAAATAGTATATTCAGAAATAAGCAGAAATGTTGGTTAGATGCTATTTAGAGGGACTCAATATTTACTTAAAAGCATCAGCCTCCTTAGTGTGTCCCACACTTGCCACCTGGAATTAATTTACACACAATTACTAGTGTGTGTTTATATTTTACTCACCGTATTTAGCTGCAATTTCAAAGTCACTCACAGTTAAACTTCCTCCTTTTTCTTTATCTAAAAATAAAAAAAAAACACGGACTTTTATGGTCTTTGTATAAAGGCAATTGTAGACTCAAGTCATAAAAGTTGTCTGGAAATCAAACCTTGAGCCACTGAAATCAATGTCAAAAGTCAAACTAGTTTTAAAGGTTAAAGAACCATTAAAAGATTCTCAATATAGATTCTAAAACTTTGGTTTATGGAGAACCTTTAGCTTTGCTTCTTACAGAAACAAAACTTACAGACTATCTCACCTGACCCCCATTTCTGCACTGCCCTGTCCAGTGGTGCCTGGACAGAGAACACCTGTGACCAGACCTGACAGGGCAGTGGTGCTCTGCAACACATTAAATCTAAAATTATTTATAAAAGGAGAGTGGCTGAAGAGGGGTGTATGTTTGTCCAAACTAACTTGCAATCTCATTATCTGCTTTTTACCACTGAATGTGACGGCCTTTTGTACACAAACACAGTGCTGGAAAAGAGATGTGATTCATTCTGAATGCATGTGGAAATACCTGAAAATCTTCAATCCATCTAAAAAGGTCAGTGAAGCAAACAGCCCAAATAATTTTTACTGCTTTACTGCCCAATAAATTTATCATTATGAAGTTTTTTCTATCTCACATTGTAGAGCTAATTAGGTAACAACCATTTCTGAAATGCAAACAGTTTGTTTAAAAACTATTATCAAAGCCTTTAGGTCCTATTTCACAGCCCCAGTATCTTCTCTATAGAAATTAATATCAAGTCAAGATCAATGCTACACAGCAGTGTAACAACAGACTAATTTCCACGACAGCTTAGCAAAGCATCATGATGTGTGCAAGTGTTCCCACTGCTTCCATAACTTGCCATTTAAAATGAAACCAACTCTGGAGCAGACATACCTATGAGACCAGCCTCTGCTGCACAGTCATAGTAGTAGGAGAAAATGTAAAAGTCTAGGTCCTTCACTTCCCCAGCTCTATGCACTTTTTTGTAGAGCATCTTTGCCACTTTATTAGAACAAGACTCATACAGAGGTTCACCTAAAAGAAGACAAAAAAAACCCCATCATATGGCTGAGAGTTAAATATATAGAGAATTTATTTAGGATCTGCCAGGAAACAGGCTCCTTTTTGAAAAATAGCAAAACTATTCACAGAGAGCTGAAATCTGCATCTTCTCCGAGAGGCAGACACCTACCATCCTCAGGTTGGGACTGTGTCATCAATCAGAGATGGACAACATCATTTGAGGCAGAAGGATTTTGAAAGACCTGTTCAAGGACTGCTCAACCCCATCTGCATCACTTCTAGCAGCTTTACTGACTGGACAGACACATCATGGCACAAGACAAAGGAACTGAAGGATCTCTTTGACAGCACATCAAGAGGAGCCATACAGAACAGCAAACAGAGCCTGGTGTCTTTGAAAGAGGATGAGAGTGTATCATTTACTGTGCTAACAGCAGCTAAACCTAGATAGCAAGAGTGATAAATCACTATACCTGCCTTCTGTCCTCTAATTTTGTACACTATCTCAGCGTGTTGCCATTCAGATTTGAAGCCAGGTGGTAAACAAGGGCTGATCAATTCTTCCCCTTCTCCTACTGCAGAAGTAAAGCAAAGCCACATTAGGAAAAAATGTAAGGAGTGAATTCAGATCCTCCACCCCCAGCCCTGCAGCCTCAGCAAGGCCCCTCCACAGCCCAGTCATGGTCTGGATGTCCCATGGCTGCCCCCAACCTAAGGCTGGCAAGAATCTAGGTCTCCTGGGATCTGTCAGTGTCACCTCCTGCATTCATCTCAAATGCACCCAGCCATGGTGACAGGAGCCCACATACCACTCAGGAACCTCGAGCCCAGTGGGAAGGGGATACACAGCTCCTCCCCCCACCACAGGACTATACAGCCTGAACTCAGAACCAGGATCTGAGGACTGCCCATAACTTACAGGGTTTTCCCTCAACTCCTCCCAAAATGGCGAGCCTTGCTGACATCAGCCCAAGTCCCAGGTAACTGCAAAGGGAGAAAAGTCTCTGTGAGCAATAGACATCCTTCCTCTGATATTCCACTGACAACCTAGCTGGGACATGCCAGTCTCCTCTACATATCCATGGCAAAGTGGCTCAAGTCAGCAGCTCATGCATGTGACGGGAACAGTGTGACAGCCTGCTCTCATATTAACTTATCCAGAAGGATAATTTCTCTTTGAAAAGGCTCAGGCAACACCTGTCAGTTGTAATCTGGATCTTGGAGAACTGGCAATGGCATTTCCCTAACTCTACTCCTAGTACCTCACTGGGTACTCCTACCCTCCTTCAAAGGCAGCCCAGACACTTGCATACATAACTGGCTTTCTGAGCCCAAACACACCCCACAGCAAACATGGGTGGGAAAAAGCTGCTAGCCTCTGCCCAAAACACTGGGAGCAGAGAAGACAGTGAGGAAGAAGAAATAACAGAGACAAAGCATGATGAACTGACTGCAACCCCCATTCTCCATCTTTCTGTGCTGCTCAGCAGTGAGAAGGTATAAGAGTTGGAAGTGAAGCTGAGACTGGGAAGGAGGAGAGGTGGAGGGAAAGCATTTTTGATTTTGTTCTTATTTCTCATTATCTTACTGTTTAATTGGCAATAAACTAAACTAAATTAAATACTAAATAAATTAAAGTCAAGTCTGTTTTGCCCATGACAATAACTGGTGACCTCCCTGTCCTTATCTTGACCCATGAGTTTTTTGTTGTATTTTCTTCCCCCTGTCCTGTTAATGGAATGGGAGTGATAGAGGGACTTGGTGGGCATATGGTGGACAGCCAAAATCACGTGGCTCAGAAGAAGCAGTTTCTCTGCTTCTTCATGGTATTCATTTGCAAGGACCCCACTCCAGAAAAACACCCCAGTCTCCCTGGCTTCACAGAAAGCTTCCATCTGAGCACTGTGCTCTCTTTTCCACAACTAACCTGTATGAATACAGCTTGTAGGTGTGGTTAAACATCTGAAATGAAGTTGTGTGGCCAGATGGTGATGTCTGGAGAGTTGCCTGGAGGGAGAAAAAGATGTCACTGGCAGGTTTCTGCCAGCCAGCAGCAAACATCAACAAGGTAATCTTCCAACACATTAAGAAAAATGTGAAATAATCCTAGCATGATTCAGACAGAAATGATGAATTTGCAATGATTTCAATTTGACTGCTCATATGCAAGGCCATAAAACCTGGAGCTAAGAGTGACTTCACATGACAGGGTTTAAACTGGTTATATTTGTGTCCACACCAATATGCTGTATAAAAGAATTACTGTAATTAAAAAGGAATCCTTACTCCAGCTCTTAACTGCTTTTGTCCAGAGGCTACAGCAACTGCCTCTTCACATGATCCCTACTACAGGGACTGTGTACAAACTAATAGGAAGGCCAGGCACGCATTAACTTCCTACTCGAGTGAATTCATCTGAGAACTTGCACAAGCCAGAGGAAAAGCACATCCCTGCACTTGCCAAGGAACAGAGTAAGGACCAGCCTTTGGTCTGAAAGAATGAAAGGGTAGCCTGTTCCCCAAGTGCATCAGCACAGCTAGAGTGTTTGTGGGGAGAAAAGGCCACAGTGCTGCTCATGCTGCTCATAACTTAACTCCTTCTCTATGCTCAGAATTTCCACATACTGGACCCTTCACATCCCTTGCCATTCTGCTGAAACAGTGCAATGTCTTGATTATCCCAGGCTGGGACACTGGATACAGCATCCCATCCCTCTGCTTTTGTGCAGCTTTACTATGAGCACTAATTCTGCTCAAGCCAGAGCCTTACAATACCAGAACCACAGGGATTTCACAGAATACCTGTAAAAATGCCACATCAGGAAGCTAGAATGGCATTCATTTGCAACTGAGTGAACTCAGGACAATCAGAAACAAGGATTGAGAAGGCACCTTACTGTGTTCTTAAATCCCAGTGTAGGCTAAATGCTGGATTTGAATTCATTAATAGCCTTGCTTTTTGGTTTCTTTGTTATAAACTGTACAAACTGAAAGTCAAGGATTAAGAAATTCAGGTGAACATGGTGTCCTCCACGAGATAAAGCAGCCCTGGCAGACTTGCCACAAGCATCACTGACCCAAGGAGCTGGACGAAGAAGATGGACAAAGAGTTGTGAATGCCCCTGGGACTGACTATAAAAAGGCACATATGACTAAGACACAAGTGTGGTTTCATGTCACACTGACAAAACTCTCGCTTTGTTTCCAAGGAAAAGAAATCTGAGCAGTTACAGATTCCTGCAGCAGCATTTCCCAACAGTGTGCATGCTCACGTTACCTTGGTGCGCGGAAGGAAGGTGATCTGTGTGGATCCACCACCCAAATCCAGCATCCCTACACTTCTCTTCTGTGGATCATCTAGCCTGCCTGAAATGTGTGACAGAACAGAGAAAGCCATGGTGGGCACTGTGAAAAACTGGCTAGGAACAAAACCAGAACTACAGTGGTAAGAAAAGAGAACAATCTAACTCCACTCACAGTTTTGGCATAGCACTAAATTACAACTGTTATCTACTGGGCACCAATTTTGGCTTTATGAGACCTGAAAACCTTAAAGAGACAAGAATCTCTTATTTCTTCAGTGGCTGTTTCTGTCCTAATCACAGCAGCTTTGGTTACTGCATTCCTGAATATTTTGGATGCAAAGATCTTTTGCAAACTCTGCTCTGGTAACCACTTTGTAACTCAGAGGAATGCCACCTCTCCCTGATCCTTAGCAATATTTTGCAGATTCCTATGGCCAACAGGATGACAGACTGAAAAGAGCTGGCCTAAGAGACTCAGCTCTCTTGGAATTCTTCCTGCTGCCAGCCAAGACCTCTGCTCTCATTTAGATCTAATTCTTCTCAGTTAGATCCTTCAAATGCACCTTCCTGACAAGCAGTTTGTGCCAAGTACCTCACTATACCTCACGATAGCTGATGTTTGAAGACTGCTGACCTTTCTGATATTTCCTGGGAGCATAAAAAGCTCCAGAGCACATTGCCCCACACACTGTGTGCTGAACAGAACACTTGGATGGCAGAGTGCTTTATGTATTGTCAGAGAGGTCTTCAGCTCACTTTTCTCTCTAATCTTCAGCTACCCTTTTCTCACTCAGCAGTGTAAACAACCGTGGCATTTCTGTGTTATAAATCCGTAAGGAAGTAGCGTAGCACTTTATTTTACTCTCTGCAGCTGCCAAGTACATCTAGAATATTCACACAAAAAATTTAGCCACAGTCACAGCAGGCTCTAAAAAGGAATAAAATGCTCTAGTACCCTACAGGGAACTGAAAGAAAAGCTACATTAAACATCTAGGAAAAAGGATTAAACTCCTCACTCCATCAAGTAAATGGACAAAATCCTGATGACTTAAATAGGCCACGCCAAAAACAAACTGCTGACTTACTCTCAGAGTCTTCTTTCTCCCATTCCACCCCAATGAATGAGCAAATTCCACACAGGGGCAAAAAAGAGCAGGAATTTCACAGCATTGGTCATATCTTTATAAACATGCTCATGTATACATACCTGTTAAAAAATTTATTGTGATCCAGGCTGAAATACCTAATAAGGAAAAGATTCAAAAGGTACTTGCTTAGAGCATAATATTTAATTTTATCTAACAGCAGCAACAATAAGGCAAGCCATATTACAAGGTTTCCAGAACTGTCAATGGCTGACAAAACCAAGATTAGACTATTTGAACAAAGAGAATGACCTTCTCTATCAGAGCTTATCTGATATCTGGGAGAGAAGCCCCATGTACGAAATACTCTGTATTTCACAGGTCAAAAACTTAGGCAGGAAGTCACAAAGGCTTCAGTCCTTAGCTAAAAGACAAAGAGATAACTGAAACTCACATTGTCCATTTGCCAGGAAAACATCCACTGTTGGCTTTTGTTTGAAGTCAGGCACTCCAGTTTTCTTTATGAATACTAAGAATTTTCATCTTTCAGTGTTCTAATTTTGCCTGTTTTCCTCTAAGCAATTTTCTGAGCTATGCTGTTTTTGTCCTCATCTTGTTTTATAAACTGTTCCCCATAAATTAGGTGAATCAGTGGCCTTATGTTAACAAATTCAAATATTTATTCATGTGGTTAAAACTCAAGACATGCCAGAGAGCGTGGCCCACTTCAATCCTTGGCTGAACCTAGGCTATCACTGCTATTACTGATTTTAAAACAAAAGAAAAATAATGTTTATCCTCCATTAAGTAGCAAGAAGAGAAACTCATAAACAGCTTCAGCTATTTTAAAGCTTGGTTCCTGAGCAGATTTAAAACACATTTCAACACTCAGTTACTCAGAATTGTGACATCCTGTCCTCAACATTTTTTGGATGAACATGATCTTACTTTAACATGTATTTTCTTCCCTATATAACAATTTTTTTTTCAGATTGAACTCACATTCCCACCCATTAGATGAATTATAATTAACATTATGATCAAATACTTCCTGAGAGCTCTGATAAGCATTTTCAAGAGCAGAGTGGGCTAACCCAATTGTTGAAGACAAGCAGATATTCAGAAACTTTCCCAGAAGTGCTGATTGGAACACCTCCACAGTGGCTTTCTGGTGATCCTACAGGAATCCTACAAGCATCCTACAGTGCTCAACACTCAGAGCTTTCAAGATCAGGAAAGAGCTCAGGACTTCAAATTGGAAAATACAGAACAAGATTTCTTTGGCAGGCACTGCCAGTGGCTGCATAAAAACTCTGCTTCTGTCTTATGGGTTCCTACTACAGTAGGCAGGGATTTGTCACAGTGCAGCAGGAATTTCCAGGACTGCAGAAAGAGTCTCCACAAAGTTGCTTACCTTCATCAGTTCCATTCATTATTGACACGCAATTGTCCCTCACAAAGAAGGGGGAGGCTTGAAAAATCTCCTTCACCTAGTTCAAATAAAAGCTACATTCAGAGAAATACTTTTTCAGCTGAAAAACAAGCTTTTTAAAACCCCAGTTTTACATTACTACTCCTCTTCTTGGGCCAGATTCTGACTGCTGCTCACCACTTTGTTTGAAGTTCAAGAGTCCAACAAGCAGCAGGCCTTTTTGTACTGGCCCTGCTGTTTGTTGCAGAAACAGGGATGGATGTCATTGGTTTTCAAGCACAAAGACTGCTCAGAAATGCCATTAACAAGGGATGGACATGGGTAGGGAAGGGAATCCCATTTGCTTTGTTGGAATTGGTGACCCTCAAGGTAACATACATACATGGGAAAGGCAGGAGATGGACAGCCTATATTGCAGGAATGTCCTAGGATGCTGCATTTTTAACAGGAGCATGTTTTCTGGAAAGCAAACTGAATGACAGGATATAATACCTTTTCAAGCAACTTCTGAGCTTTCTCTCCTGGCAGCAACCGTAGGCCAGCTGTGGCTTTCAGGACCAGAGGAGTAAACTTCCACAGCTCCATAGGAACTTCCTTCTTTGCCACCTCCAGGAGCTCTTTTATTCCCTGGCCACTCTGTGATCCAAGAAAGAACAATAAAAGGCATCTTAAAAACTCTTTTCAAAGATCAAAAGGGTGATCACAACTATGATTCACTGTTACTGTGAAACAGAAACAAATTAATATCAAAAGGGATCAAGAAAAGGTGCAGGACTTGCTATCTCACTACAGCATAAGGCCTAGTGGATATAATGAAATCTTTGATCAACAGGTCCAAAACAGAAAGGGTCACTTTTTCAAACAGTGAAACAGAACACTCTGGCACCAAATTTTTTGGCTACAAAAGGCTCAAATTCTGGGAAAGCAAAGGCTTTTGTAAAACACTATGAGCTGGGTCTAAGTCTGACTCTTAGGAGTCCCTAAATCTCTGCAAACCTGAAGGAAAGGGAGACAGGAAAGAAGTAACTTAAATTACCTTTTCGACATCATCAGCATATGCAGAGAGACCTGGTTTCAGTGCTTTAAACGTCTCATGGGTTAACCTGGGAGTCTCTGTTCAAAAGCAGTATTCTAAAATAAGTAATGGTACAAATAATTTTGCATACACAAAAAGAAAACCATAAAAAAAATCCATTATTATGTGCTAATAGAAGTGAATTGAAGCTTCTGTCTAATGAACTATTATCAGCTACTTGACCTTTAAATACAGCCCAGGCTGTGGAATTAGAACCTGAGAAAACCACTTTTAAAACCATGACTGGTTGTCAGGTGCTGCTGTCCACTATGCACATCAGTCACCAGATGGGTTCAAGCCTTACACCTGCCATGTGCAGCTTTTCAAACCGCACCTGCAAAAAAAGACCTCGTTTCAGCCTGCTCTGTTCTGGCTGAACTTGATTCCAGCAAAACCTAATGGTAGCTTTCCCACTATTTTCAATGGCAGCAGAGGGATACTTCAGTAAATACTTCAGTATTTCAGAAAGCTGCAGAACTTGGTTTAAACCTACAGTCCAGGCAACGCTACACTCTATAAAGTTTGCTGTGATACATTCTGAAATTTTGTTTCAAATGAAGCAGGAAAAGGAAAAAGCAAAAATTTGGAGATACGAGAAAATAAGGAAATCCATGGACTGTCGTAGAACACCTTCGGTGGTTGAGCCTTACACCAATCTATTATGCAAACCTAAGGTACTCCCCAGAGGCCAATCACACACTTCACATACACCACACTTCTAATCCTCAACAGAGCCTTTAGATCACCTACTAACAGCCCCACCCAGGCTCTTTAAGAGTTTCACAAACGTAGATGACAACATACAAACAAATTAAGCTTACTACTCCAGAGGAAAGCTGGAGTTTTTTTGTACACTTTGTCTCAATTCTGAGAAGTAACTTCTGTCCAGATGAAATACACAGCAATTTTAATCAAACTATTTGCGATTTTTGTTTCGTTTTGTGGTTTAAACCAAACAATGAAGCCAAGGATGCATTAAACTGGACACTTCAAGAGAGAAGCAGCTCACTGCCAGGAGACACCAAACAACCTAAAAAATTTGGGGAAACAGGGCAGTTTGAATTTATAATTCTCTCTTCCACCAGTGTGATGAAAAATGGCCTTTTTTTCATGACACTAAAAGTACAGCTGCTACTTACTTCATATTCTGACATTACAGCATTTTCTCCTTGGTGAACATTTTCATAATTTCACCCACACACACATGCCTGAACCATAGTAAACCTCCTGACAGCTCTCTGGAAAGATCTGAAGCATGTATGTTCAAGTAAACCCTAGAAAACTGTCATCAATAATCTCCTCCACAATTTATGGAAGACTTAATCCGTCACTCAATGAGCAGGACATACCTCTTGACTGCTGTGCAAATTTAAATATATGGATGCGAGTTCCCGTGCTTCCTGCATCAAACATAATTCCATAAAAGACAGAGAGATCTGTGGTCACTGCCTGATGGGTCAGTTTATCTCCCCTGCTTACAGCAGCTCCTTCTGTGGCTCCCACAAATGGTTTGGAGCCCAAGTGCCATTTTATGTATGCAACATAAACAGCTATGCATGTCAAAATTCCAAAAGCGAAGAACCGCTTTGATATCTTCATGGCTTCCATTTAATGGGATGTTTTGTTTCTTCCCTTAATCAAGTGGTCTGTTCCTTGTCCTTCACACAGAACAGGTGGCTCCCACATCACTCCTACATCCAACAGAAGAGAAAAGATCTGTTTTATTTTCCCAACCTGATAGAAGGATCTGAAAGTATGATACCCACGACACTGGACACCACTTTCCCAATGAACAGAAGGAATGCAGCCTCTTTTAGCACCTCTTTCAGTCCCACAGCTCAGGGTAAGGCATGGAGCAGCACAAATCTTCTTTTCCCCCATTGCTACAGAGGCCTAATAAGGCACAAAATAAGGAAGGTTCAGAGAAGATATGTACAGTGACTATGGTGGGAGAGGACCTCATCCAACACCCTGCTCACAGTAGGGGCAGCTGTTGGGACCCTCCATGTGGCCAAGGGCTATATCCAAGATCATTCTGAAAAACTCGGAGGATAACAGCTTCTCTGGGCTAGTTCCTGGATGGTGAGGGAGGTCCTGGAAGACTGGACGAGGACAACTTAAAATTAATGTTTTAAAGGCAAGATGCAAGATCCAGGGAATTGAGTGCCCTCCTCCCCTATCTCCAACACCAGGAAAGAAACCAAAGCAAAGCACAACCCACAAAAGCTACAAGGCCTCACACAGCATCATTAAAAACAAATTATTAAAAATCAGCCAGTGGTGATTTACGGGGAGCAAAATTATATATAATTTTTCCTTTTTTTTTGATAGGGTGATGAAAAGAAAGGAAACCAATTGATGAAGCCGAGTTAAACAAGGTTTTTTAAACATATGTAACCTCTTCATGAGAATTCAGGAAGCATGAAGAAGGTGTGAAGGGGAGGAATTTAAAATCAAGGTGATTACAGAGTATTTCCAAAAACAAAGGTAAGACAAAATTTCATAAAAATGGGGGAAAACAAAATCACAGGCAAACATACACATAAAGAATGGATCAGCTTAAGTGAAAGGGAACTGTACGTTGTCATGACACAGAAATCAGGAAGATGGCATTGCAACTAAATTAAAAATCTTCCTGGCTTCTATCAGCAGGCAGAGACACGCAGGGGGCAATCGCTGCAGATCTACGGGGTGATCATCCGATCCTCCTGGTGCCAGGAAGGCCTCAGCTGCAGCCACACCAGAGCTAAATGTCACCGGAGGGAGAAAAGCCGCAGGGACCGGGTGATCCTTGGAGGAGACACGAGCTCCACAGCAGGAAAGCGGAGGCTGGAAAAAGGAGGAGGCACAGCAGCCTGTGCTAACCCCGCTAACCCCCTACCGCCGTTTGCCTGGAGAGAATCGCGACTGTCACTTCCCTGCCTTTGTCAGGGGACGCCAACATTTACTGCAAGGGAAAAGCTTCCCGCTGGCGCCCCGGAGCCAGGAATGCAGGCGGGAGCCGAGAGCCCGGCAGAGCCTGGGCCAGCGCGGGCCCGACCCGGCACACCCCGCGGGGTGCCCCTCGCTCTCACACAGACCACTGTCCCGCCGCCCGCACTTCCTTCCTCCTCCCTTTTCCCTCTTCCCTCCCTCTTCCCTCCCTCCCTCTCTCCCAAACTCACGCCGCCCCCGCCGGCCCGGCCATGGCGCCGCCGCCGCCCGGCTCGCGGGCGGCCCCGCCCACACGGCGCAGGCGCGGGGCGGCCGCGCGGCTCCGTGAGGGGAGGGCGGTCCCGCGGCGGCCGAGCCCCTCAGGGCGAGAGCTCCGCGAAAATGGCCTTAAAAAATAAAAAATAGGCGTAGCGCCTCAAGGTCAGGAAGGTGTGTCGGGAAATGCGGAATGTGTAAAAATTATCTTGAATCACGTGGTGGTTAACGTCGTCTAGTCAAGGACACAGTAGAGCTAACAGGCTCTAAGGATGAAGAACATCAAAATGTTGATGTACCCGTTGCCAGCTTGGTGAAACACTCAAGGTCCATGTATCCTATGAAATATGTTTTTTATAGTACTAAAAAAATCACACCTGTAGGTCAAAAAGGTGCTGGCCTGGTGAAAAAACTTTCTCTGAGCATGTACGGAAATTAGGTGGGTCACATAGTTTGTATAATTACTAACCAGTCCTAGTAGAGAAGTTGTAGTGTTTTGGTTTAAGACGATTTAAGTGGTGGATGCTCTAATTAAGTTATCTCCCTTTAGATTTAACCAATCCCCTTCCACCAATCAGGAGTGAATACAAATAGATATAAGTGAAAAAATAAGTTTAACAACAAGTGAAACAGCAACAGGCAAAAAAATAACAGTAAATAACCACTGGAAACAGAATTGCTAAATCTCACTGACCCCTTGTGAACAAAGACTTTAAAAGGGGCTGTGACACCTCCCACTACCACTTCTCTTTTCAGGTTCCAGGGTCTTAGAGATAATAACAATTTGGGGCACTGATAGATATGGAACACAGAAACCCATTTTGGGTTGCCCTCAACATGTACTTGGGAGGTTACTAGTAGTAAATATCTGTGTATAAATAATGGCCTGGAAAATCCTGAGGGGCATCCTCTGTAGAATACCACCAATCATCCAGATTTTGTAGAATACCATAAATCATCCGGGTTTCTGGAGTTGTGCAACTCTGAAACAAATAATCAAATGTCTCTCTTGAGTGTGTAATTTTTGGCTTGTTGCACACTGGGTAATGAATCTGATTTTTCTGGACAATAACAGGAGTGGTCCTCAAGGTGAGGGGGGAAAGTGCAGAGCAGGACCTGTGCGGGTGGTGGGAGAGGCCCCATGGCCCAGGGATAATGCCACCAGGAGATGGCTGGCAGGGCTTCTGGGTACCCTCTGCACCCCAGTGAGAGCCAGCCCTCCCAGGAGCTCTTGTCCTGCAAGTTTGGGTTGGGTCTGAGGCAGGGAGTATGAGTAGATGCGAGCAAAGTCCTTGAGTAGTTGCTTCATGCCTTTCACCATACCTCATGTGCAAAGAATTAATTTTTTCTAAGATTTGTAACTCTTCTGTGATGTGATTGCAACACAGAATCTATGTGTAGTTTCTATGCTGGTTTGAAAGAAAGACTCTGATGGTGTGGTTTCACCAAAGATGAGTCTGCTAACGGCTTGAGAAAAAAAAAGACATCTGAGAATGCTCTGTTGATTCCTGTAGGTGTTAATCCCAAAATTGCTGCTGTGGCATTCCTGTCCGTCATGGAATCTCAGGAGCTGCAAACCCAGAAGGGAGAAAATAGACACGACAACCTCAGGAAAGATGCAGCCTGACTGCTGGGTGAATACCCTTTATCTCTGGGACTGAGGGGAGGATGGTCACAGTCATAGCTGTGCATGGTCACTGATCTTGGTGAGTCTGCAGCATGGCATCACCTTGTTCTGTCCCAAAATATGATATGTTGACAGACAAAAAAACTATTTTTTTATGGTTCTTGCTGTGCCAGGTGTAGCTCAGCAATATCTAGTGGCAGTGTGAAGGTAAATTCAAAGCAAGTAAGCTGTTTTTTAGTTAGCTTTGTTCTGAGTGACCCCCTTTTGGTAAAACAGAAAAAAGGGGATAGGAAGTAAAGATACTACAACTTTTGGGCTAGGGAGCTACTCAGGTCTGGAATTGTCCTTTGAAGTAAAAGACCAGGGAGCCCCTTCTCAAATTCTGTGGTTGTCACTGTGATTTTGGGCTGCTGTGAACATTTCCACCTAGGAGCAAGTTTCCTGAAACCTAGAACAGAACTTGAATCCCTTATGTTTAGAAACACACAGACTTCTGAACTCATCACAACAGAGAGCATGCTACATCAACAACCTATTTCTTCTTCCAGGTTGCAAGAAAACAGGAATGCTTCTGAGGGGTTATTCGGGGTGAAGCACTACTTGCATTTTTTCTTCAAGACAGAAGATTTAGGTGATATCTCTATGGTTTTTCTTATCAAGTTATTTTTTTTCAATCCTTAATAAAGAAATGCTCCTGTCACCGATTGCTAAGTCAGCAAAAGAAGAAATTTTTTCCCTTTTCACGAGGGAAGGCAGATCTCAGGAGTCGTGGCCCTTGAGCTAAAGCAGGTCAAGGCCAGCAGAGAGCACCATTTCCCCAGGGACAGGGCAAAATAGTACAGTATTTATTTCTCTTAGTTGAAACTGAAATATCTTGCATATATGTTCATAATAAGTGCTGCAGTTAGGACTAGAGATTCCAAAGAAATGGGAATGTAATACTGAGGGGTTTTTTTTTTTCTCCCTCCTGTAAAAAACATTACTTATGTGCATGGGAACAGTTCTCAGGCTGTTTCTGGAAACCCCCTCTCCTCAGCTTCGGACCTGGGATGGAGTGCAGGTGGTTTAAAGAGTTTTGGATGCATTCCTGAAACTGTTTCACATGCAGTACTATGGTCATTCTTAGAATTAAGTCACACCGTCTGAGATTTGTAACAAATTTTCAAGTCTGATATCAACATATTGTACATATTACTTATACATTTAGATTCATACCTTGGTGCATTATATATATCAAACCTGAGGTAGAATGCGGACTATTGGGAACCAGTTTGGGAACCATTTGGGAAGTTATCTCTGTCACTCCCATGTTATAAGAAGAATTGTTTTGGATGTCTCAATGAGAGTTAATAAACAGGGATCAAAGACAAATTGTACAGATAGGAAAATCTGTATAATTAAAAGGTTATTTCACCAATTTTGTCACGACTCTAGTGCACAGTAACAAGATTAAGTTGTACAGCAAGTACAAAGTCAGTATTTTTGGCACAGTGTGCCCATGAACTGCATGTAATTGGCATGTTGTGCAAGCCAGGTAGCAACTGAATAATCCTGATGTCCCTACATCCTCAGAGAGTCACATGGGTGTTCAACCAGCTGATGCGTACCCAGTGAGAGAGTTGTTCTGCTGCAGTACTTGGAAATACTAAGGAAAAGGAACAGCAACTAAACCTATAGCTCAAATGTCCATTCAGGTTCCATTTTCTCCCTTCGTCTCAAAAAACAAATTCTACTTGTGCTGACCTGTAGCAGAAAAGTGTGATTTTTGTTGAACCCTGAGCATTAAATTTGTCTCCTTGCTGCAAACCATTGATGTGTAGCTTTCCCCGTGGCTGTCTGTCACTGCATCCTCCCCATATTCCTGAGAAGGATAGGTAGTTCTGAGATCCTGTCACTTACCTGGAACCCCACATGGCACCTGCTGCTCTCTGATGCCCTCCACTCTGGATCTTCATCATTCCTTCACAAAACTCCTAGCAAGGCAGGACTTGGCATCTACTGCATCTTCTCTGCAGCTGCATCTGTCCCTGGCCGAGAGGGCCATGATCAAACATGCCAGACAAATGCTGAGTTACCATTTCCTTTCCATGGAGAAAGCATAAATAACATATTTCTCTATCTCCCCTCTGCATACCCATCAGTTTCTGACAAAGTCATAGAAATTAAACACCTTTGAGACATTTATGCTTCTGGCAATTTTAATAACTGCATTTGTCCAGTAACTGGACAAATATTTTGGAGGGACAGTTCTGTGCTTGTATCATAGGGGATGTCTCCCAGGAGATGGCACTGATGATTTCCTTGATGGTTGTGGCTATGGTACCACAAACCAGAAAAACTGAGGAGGTCTCTGCTGTTCCTGACTGCTGCTCACAAACCACGTGCAGAAATGAACTGTAACTTTGGAAATGCTGCCTCAGCGTGGTCTTTTCGGTGCCCTACAGGCTGAAGTTCTTTATAAACTTATCATGACCTACATAATTGACCTATATTATGTGTCTGTTTGTTAAATAGATTGCACTAATTATAAACATGAATGGCGATGGCTTAGTGGTTATTTATTTATTCTGAGGTGTGTGCCTGCTGTCTGAAATAATGTACAGGAGGATCATTGCCAGATTTTCCTCCTTGCCCCCTCCATATTCGACATGTACCATGGACAGTTGTAATAAAACATGAATAGATTCTGCTTTCAGAAGGAAAAAAAAAAAGTTTTTATTGCTTTTCTAAGCAAGGGGATGTATGCAAGATCCTCTGGCAGGTACAGACCATGCAGGAAAAAATGAGGGAGAAAACACAACACAGCAAATTTTTCAAGCCCTTGATTTGTAGGGCAGTGAGGAGGGGCTGAATGTACTTTGCACTTTGGTGACTTTTTTGAGACCTTTCTTTGAGACCTTTGAGTCTGGGAAACAGCATTACTACACCTTGCTGATAGATGAGTGTTTTATAATAAGTGTGTCTATTTCTCCTTGCGCCTGTGCCACACTTGCAGACTCCTGGAGCTATTTGAAATCCAGGGTGCCGTTAAAATGTGCTGAGTTTAATGGAACTGCACCTGCTCCCAGCAAGTAGGAATTTTGCTTTTAACGTTTCAGACTGACATCCAAAGCCTGGCTGATTTGCCTCTAGGGGCAGATTTGGATCAGGGCTTTAAAACAGATGTCTGCTGCCACAGACCCCCTCAGTTGTATTAGCGACGCTGTCAGGCGGTTTCCACTGCTGTGTCCTCATTCAGATGGACAGGGTGCGCTGAGTGTAATCTAATTAAGGAGAATTCCCCAGATTTTTGTTTCGTGTCTGCTATCACTGTGTTTTTAACTTTTCCAAATTCATTATAAATGTGCCCATCTGTGGGCTGTCTCATAGCACTGACTCCAAATAGCTGTTTTTTGAGAAAAAA